GTTAGGCGTGAGGGTAGATAAAGTTAGGCACAGGGGGTAGATAAAGTTAGGCACAGGGGGTAGATAAAGTTAGGCACAGGGGGTAGATAAAGTTAGGCCCGGGGGTAGATAAAGTTAGGCCTGGGGGTAGATAAAGTTAGGAGTGTGGGTAGATAAAGTTAAGCCCGGGGGTGGATAAAGTTAGGCGTGTGGGTAGATAAAGTTAGGCCCGAGGGTAGATAAAGTTAGGCGTGAGGGTGGATAAAGTTAGGCCCGGGGGTAGATAAAGTTAGGCGTGTGGGTAGATAAAGTTAGGCTTGGGGGTAGATAAAGTTAGGCCCGGGGGTAGATAAAGTTAGGCGTGTGGGTAGATAAATACATAAGTTGGACTATAACAAAAATCAGAGAAAAACAATTCAGTGAGTCTCCCCCATGAGTGTAGTTACAAATGTCACTTTAACCTCTAACTTTTTTTATCATGCCAGCGCCATGTACTTTCACATTGACTTGACCAGATAATATTAAGAAAGCCTCACCTGATCTATAGGGATGTCAACTACAGCAATCTTGGCAGGAGGTCCAGCTACCAGTTCCAGTTTTACATAATCTGACAAATCTTTCCATTTGACGAGTAACTCTGTCATTCCTAAAGGTACTCCAGTAAACTTGATGTTCTCAAGAAGAAATCCATGTGTTTGATAGGGCGCCCTCACCATTTCATTAATGACAAGTCCCTTACCAAATACTTGTAGAGTTGCTAAGGTACTGGAAGGTAGCTGAAAATAAAACAATGAATAATCTAATAATTTAATTTGAGCTTATCACTGAATTATTCCTGATCTAAGTCGTCTGATGATTACCACACATTAACCCTTATCGTCTGAATCACAAATTCTACTGTAAAAATACATAGACCGGTTTGGAGAAGCCTCCTAAACATGGTCTAGAGTTGGCATAGCTTATGGAAATAGAAATAAAGCAAAATGGCATGACATTAAATTTTCACAGAGAGAACACTTTAAGCGAAATAAACAGGCCTGTAACAGGAAAAGATGATTCACATTTAATTTTTGGTGGAACATTTTGGACCATTTCAAAAAATGTTTTTCATATTTTTCTGAAAAAACTTTGGTCAAGACATCCTTTTCACCTATAACAGGTAAAAAGTTTTCACCAAAATTTTGATAGGAAATATAATACACAAATGGTTTAACTAACAAGCAGCCTGTCGGCTGAGATAGCTCCGCTGTTAGCAATGCACATGGCAATTAAAGAACAGAAGATATCATCATGAAATGAACAAATCTGAGAGAGGTCTACCCAAGGTACATATACACCAAGTATCAAAGCATTCAGGCTTGTAGTTTTCAAGAAGAAGTCGAAAAAGTAAAACATTGACACGGACGATGACGATGGACAATCACTCATATGATAAGCTCCGCTCGACAAAGTCGACAGCGGAGCTAAAAATGTCTTTTCTATGACATACCTTTTTGACAGGGTTTCCATGGGAATCTGTGATTGAAATAATGATATCACCTTCTAGTTTCTGTCCAAGGGCAATCTTCTTGTTACCTTTACACGTACATTTTAACTGAGAAGGCTCACCTGAAATCGGTCTAACATGACACAAATAAACACATTCATCAAACACCAACACAATCAAGTATTTAAGAGACATGAATTGACAATATTATTTTATGCAATACTACAAGGACATTATGAGAATATCACAAATTATGGACAAAAGCAGCATTGTGATCGTATCTACTGAGGCATATTCTTGTGACAAACTTTGCATGTGTTACTGTCCATTTATCGTGAATACAATGCATACCCTCCAACAGAGCAAAGAAATAAAAATCTATGTTGGCCACATCTCCATATGACTTACTTGAGTGTAAATGCAAATTCAATGCCGGCTTCACTGAGACTCACTTGGCAGTATTTGGTTTCAGCAGTAGAGTTTGGTACTTTAACGTTAGGCAGCTGTTCCTTTAGCAACAATTCTTTATTGAATTTAGGAGTCCAATGAACTCTGATCTTACTTGCAATTTCTGGAGTGATTTTAAGGACTCGATTTCCCTCATCGTAAAGTTTGAAAGCTATAAATAGAAAAGAGTTGTGATAAGACAGATGTTCCTTGTTGGTCACACTAAATACACTCATTTCAGTAGTTTGTTACTAATCATCTATTAACTATTCTATCAAGTCTTCAGTCAAATCTGAATTTAAAACAATGAACATCAGTCACTCGTCCACTCGCAATGTAAAACATTAAAATATTTGATGGATTAGAACTACCGTAAAAACTTGATTAATTCGCGGTAGTAAAAATAATTATTTTTTCAAGTGCACGAATTACTAGCGTCAAAACGGAAATTATTGGTTTTTGGTGCGCGAATTAAACGAGTACTTTTAGATCGATTAAAAAAGGAACTGTTTACATAAATTTATTTGTGATTTGTTTTGTTTTTCAATGAACACGATTACGGGACGTTTTTTTAGTGCCTCTGAGACTCATGGCTAGCGACATTCATGGCGTATAGTCGGACAGAGAACACGCACTGCGTCAAGGACCACGCACCATGTTACACTTGAAATGTAACAGTGAAAAATGGCAAAGGTCACTCTGTACACAAACAATGAACACGTGGCTACAAAGTAGCCGTCTGGCTGCACTGCCTTTTTTTATTTTTTTAGGCATCGCCCGGGCGATGTTATGGCAGATATTACGAAGCCCATCTTGTCTGGAAAAATAACTCTGCGTTGATAAAATCAGTCTCAGAAAATGTTTAGAAAAAATAATGTTTCGCATTGACCAAATATAATCATGCAAAGTATAAATTCAAAGTGTTTTATACATTGGTGAGAGGTCGCATTTTACGTGACAGAGAAAGCAGCCAAAGTCGAACGGGTG